CCCCCCGAGGTCATCCGCACGGGAGCGGTGCGAGAGAGGAGTAGCGAGATGCGGTAGCGAGGCGAGACGGCAGACGGGGCGAGACGGGGCGAGAGAGGAGATGCGAGACGCGCCGGTAGCGAGGCGAGACGGCAGGGCACGGGACGGACTCGCTACCGGCGGCGAGTCACTGCAGTGGCACACAACCGCAGAGATGCACACACACACACACACACACACACACACACACACACACACACACACACACACACACACACACACACACACACACACGGGGCAGGCCTCGCTACCGGCGCCCAACTCCAATCCCATCACACAGGCGAGCTGCCCGCCGTTCATCTCGGAGCCCGGCCCGTGGGCGCAAACCGCCGCGCGCGAGCCGAAGCTCGTCTGGGCTCCCTACATGGGGAACGTGCCGGAGGCGGGGGCGGGGGGGGCGGGGGCGGAGGCGGAGGCGGAGGCGGAGGCGGAGGCGGAGGCGGGGGCGGGGGCGGGGGAGGAGGCGGGGGAGGAGGCGGAGGCGGAGGCGGGGGCGGGGGCGGGGGAGGAGGCGGGGGAGGAGGCGAGGGCGGCGCCGGAGCGACGTGGGATCAAGCGGCCCCTCGATGCGCAGAGCGGCGGCGACCTCCTGGGGCGGGCAGCCAGCCCGTCGCCGGGGGGCTCGGCGGCGGCGGCGGCGGCCGGCGCGGCGGCGGCACCGCCGACGGCGCCCGCTGGTGAGGGTAGCGACACAGCTGCGGCGGCGGTGCCCGCAGCGGCAGGAGGCTCTGCGGAGGCCTTTGCTGCGGGCGGCGGCGGCGTGGGCGGCGGCGGCGGCGCGAGCAGCGGCGGCGCGAGCGGCGGCGGCGGCGGCGGCGGCGGCGGCGGCGCGGATGCGGACCATGCGGCTGCGGCGAACGGGGAGGACGCGGCGGGCGCCTCTTGGGCGCAGCGCGGCGGCGCTGCGGCGATGGTGGTGTGCGACGGGCCCCCGGGCGCGTCGCTGCACCTGCTGTTTCCTCTGCCGGCGGTGGAGCAGTTCCGGGCGGGCATGTCGGCGCAGCGCGACGCGAACGGCGGCGGGCCGGTGACGCTACAGGAGCAGGAGGGGGCCTCCCCCTCCCG